CCTACTCCTACACAACAAAACATCGCTCGTCGAGGCAGTCGGTGGTTATGCATACATAAAACATGTCCCAAACAACTCAACTGATGACGTTTCAATACTTCGTATATTGATTTACCATCCCTACTTAGTACTCGTTTCCTAACTATAGCATTGCTTACTCAGTTGTCCCAGGATAAACGAGCAATGCTTCGAAGACATCTATAATCAAATACTAATAAGCTATGCATATTCTCAACTCTTACCAGCCATGTTTCGCATTCATATAGTGACGCCTATTATAACATAAAACATTAGAAAAACTTTCATGAACACCAATCAAGTTACAGTGAACTAATAATAATAATCGGTTGCATAAAACAATCTACAATTTGTAAAACTTATACTTACTCGAACAATATCATTAGAGCCTGTTTTAGCAGCTTCAATTAATGGAGTAGCACCACTGTCAGCTGATTTTTCATTTACATAATCTGACAAACTTGTTACTCCCATTGAATTGACACGTGCAAATAGATCACGAACACCCTTGTAACAAAAACAAAAATCGAAACCAAAAAAAAAATAAAGAAAGCTTTACAATATGGTGTGGTCACACACAAGATACTGGTTTCGATGAGATTTGTGACAAGACAATCAGGTCAGTGATTATGGCGTAAGTTGTTTAAGCATAGGCAGTACAAACTAGGAAGGTATGTTTTAATTGCTCCCCTTATCCCACGAGATAAGCCCTCACATGGAACCCTCAAGGTAAAAGGAAAAGAGGAAGGCCAAGGAACATATTACGCCGAGAAATAGAGAAAGATATGAGGAGAATGAACTAACATTGGACAGAATTGGAGTGGGAAGCCCAGGACAGAGTTAGTTGGAGAAAACTGGTGGGCGGCCTATGCTCCATTGGGGGTAACAGGCGTAAGTATGTAAGTAAGTATCCCATGATAGCAATGAGAGGTCATGTAATGTATGACAAGTTATAAGATGATGTTTAGTGGCTTTAAATTTGACCCTTGGTAGGTGAATAACTAACTCTCGGTAGGTTTATGCATGTATTCACCGATCATCAATAAATTCTAGCAGTTTACATATGATATAAGTTTCAAAAACAAAAGTAGTGTAGTCACAAACAATATGTTTAACGCCAAAAGTTAAGTTATAAGATTGATAGTATCACTGAAATTGGTTGATTCATGCTAAGTGAAAAAAGAAATCAAAAATTATTCTTATTCCGATGGTTTCCATCTTAAAAATATACGATTCATCATGTGGAATCGAAAATAGTTCAACTTTAGAAGAAGTCAAGACCGGATGGAACGTATGGTATATTTGGAGAACAGTTTGTTTACGAAATAGTCTTCAATCAACTATTTGAAATCCAAACAGGCTATTGACTATATTCTCTCACTCCTCTTTTGGTCTTCAAAACACCATGATCATACTATGCCATGCATTTCGGTTTAGTGACACTTTTGTCTGATAATAGCTTATACGAGACACTCCACTGTATACTACTGTAAGAATCATTCACCACACAAAGATTAGTTTGATTTGGCCATCTTTAGGTTGCTTGAACTGTGTATCAACTTCATTAAAGACTGACTACTGATGATGAATTTCAGTACATAAGACATACTTAACTAGTAGTCGATACGAGTTGAGAAATTAATTAGCTGATTCGGTTTTAACAAGGACATCAAACAATATTGACATTTCGAGCACATGATTCCACCATATTATTAGCAAGACTTCAAAAATATAGGTGATTAAATAGCCACAACTGCGATTAAAATGCACATTTTTAGAATATCGGGAAAGAATTAGTATCAATTTGTAAGATAAATGAATAACTTACCTTAAGATTTGCCTTCCTTACAGCATGATGCAAATCGTTGGTTACACCATAGACAGTAATGTGTGGAGGCGGTCGCATGCCTGGTGCAGGTTTTCCTAGTGAACACACTATGCAATTATTTGCACGCCGGAACTCTGATACGAGCAAGTCAATACCTAGATATTTAGCATTTGTTCCATTGACCTAAGAAACAAAGTAAAATCCATAGTTTTGTATCATCATTCAAACTTTAAAGTCTAATGAGTTCTTTCTACAATAATAATATGAATAATACATATGATTTATAAAACAGTACGACTAGGAGTTTACCGAAGTAGCAGTGTTTATATCATTAGTGCAATGAAATAAAGATGATCAGTGACAACCAGGAACTACTGATAGAGAACTATAGAAACCGGGAATGTGACACAGAGGACCATATTTGTTTCATGAAAGGGAGAGGCTTTTTGAATAACAGAGGTAACATTTTAGATGAGTCGATTAGATTTAGGGAAACGTAAAATGGACAGCTTTAAAAACGAGGAAACAACCTGGAGACCATAAGACATAAAATTATATTAGTCAAAACTAACCAGCGAGTTTTGTGTATTAACCACATTGAAAACATAATCAAGCAATTTGCGATTTCTAAGTTTAGGATGCAGCAAAAAACGTGGAGCAACTGACTAGTTAGTGTTTTATCTCCCAAAACTTCAAATAACAATATGGAATTCCTTTGGAACTGATTATAAACTACGTTTTAAGTTTAGGTTTAGCCAAGATATTTCAACAGACATCCAGAAAACCAAGAACTCATGGAGGCTAACCAAGTAACGAGGTGCATTTATCGACAGACAGACAGACAGATTACAACGCAGAACTTCGTACATAAGCACATCAGTTCAGGTTGCCATACCACGTCAGCACAGAGACGCAACTGTCAGTTCAAATGCAACAGTGATAGCGATAGTAGAATTATTAGCAGCCATGGAGAAGATTAGGGAGCGAAGATATGATTCGAGATGGATAATTCAGTAAGATAAATTTAGAAGGAGAAAGGTAGAGATTATGAGGAATGCAGAAGCTTAGAATTTCATAGAACACAAAGAAAGGATGCACCTGCGCCATCGCAAACGATCCTGAGCAATTTCGTTCAAGGTCTCTAACCATTGGTGACTATCGTCTCGCGGACCCCAACCAGGTAGTTTACATCTACCAAGATATTGATACCATGAAGTCACTACACTAAATAGGTTGACTGATTTTAACCTCATGACACAATGGTTAAAAGCCAAACAACCACACCTCAACACAATTCCTTGATTTATAAACCAATAGTCTTTGTGATCAACTTGTAGTGTAAAATGCTGTGAAAGCAAAGACTTAAGAAAGTTTAAGCAAAACGAAGAAGAAAGTGATTTAAGCACATGTAATACATATCTTCATGGATTTTTTACAGATTTAAAGAGAAACAACCCAATAATTCATGCCATTGTTTCGCTAAATTACCGTACAGTGATCTGAAACAAACACAAACCACTTGAACATTTATAAGGTTTTACATGAAAATATTTTCATAAATTATATTGTTCTTTTTAAGGTAGAAATTTTCGTACATAATACCATACACAACTAATAACCTGGAACTAATAATAGGTGAAACCTTAACTACCGACTGCCTCGTCGAGCTGTTTTTTGTGGTGTATGAGTAAGTTGGGAGAAACTAGGGGGCGGCCAGAACAAAACATGACAAAAGTCCACGAAGTCACTGAAAACCGGGCTCAGTTATGTTGGTAAGTGTCGACTACCTGGTTGGGGTCCGCGAGATAATAATAATCAATGATTATACATGTGAATGACATTGCTCAAGACCGTTTGCAATGGCACATGTGCATCCATTCTTTGTGTTCTCTCAAAATCTAATCGGAATTTCTCTTCTTCTGGGATATACTAGTCGAATGATATATTCGATCATTAATCTTTTTGATCATCGCTAATACTTCTACTATTACTTGATATTAATTGATATTAATTGCGCCTCTGTGCTAATGTGATATGGTAACTTGAGCTGAAGTACGTACGTACGATGTTCTACATTGTAACTGACTGAAACCTTAACTGGATTTTCAGTAAGCGATAATGGAAGATACTTTTCCTTCAGAACAGGTGAACATATACAAGGACTTACAAGTTTTTATATCAAACATTATCCCTTAGGATTACTAGTGTTATCAGGAAAATGCATTCAGATTACTCCGAATCTGGGATCAATACTCGCACTCCAAAACAGATTGAGAGAAACACACATAAATAAAACGCAGAAGCTCAAAGTTACAAATTTATCTCTTAGAACATCTCAATTTTTACAACTATACTAAGTTATTTATGAAGAACCAATAGTATGGCTGACTGCACCTCGGGAATCACTTAAAAGATATGAACCGCTTTAAAACTAGACAGGTACCTGATAAAATCCATCAGACAATTCTTCGATAGGGTAGTGGTATAGCTGTTGATTATAAATGACGCTTAGAACATATTTGTGGGTCGATATACTGAATCTTATGAGGAAGGTGCCATTTTGCGAATGATGTTTGAGTAGTCTTTCAGTGTCCTCACGACTTATATTTCCATGAAACCAGTGACCGGAAGGTACTGCCTCAGGTGGATCGCCCCCAGTTCGTACAGGCATTCTTGGAGTGACTAATTCGAAAGGTGAAAGGACAACGGACGATGCAGTAATTGGGATTGGTCTGTGAATTACACGAGAAATTGGCTGGTTCTGAACGTTACAATTGCCGTTCACTTGCTTTCGGTGTTGCGGCATTACTATAATGTGTTGATAAAAAAGAATCCGTCAAAACATATCCGGAAATCCGACATAAATCCAACATGTACAATCTAATAGGATTTAGAAAACTAGTACGACCCCGCCATAAGTTACTAATGACCTTAAGATGTAATTCAACAGATTAAAACGAGAGCTTTTTGAATAAGATAACGTATATCGTATACTCAATAGTAGAGACACACGTGTTCATCTATACTCAGCCCAAAAATGTCAGGATGTTTTGATATACTTTTCACTCATCAGAATACGTAGAATAATTGTCTGTTTTAGACAATAGCTGTGGGTTACTTTGTCATCCAGGTGTACTTATAAACATTTTTAAGCAATTCGTCTCCTCAAATAGTTTTGAATGATGATTTTAAACCCGAAACAACTGTCTTACGCTTCTGTACAAGTATTTGGTAGTATATACTTATGTCAAGTCCACTACTTAGAAAAAGAATTAATTTTCCGTCGATTAGGTGACTTTTGCACTGATAAACTGACTGTGTGCAGACAGCAGATCCGTCCATTGTGGTACCTACACTTTGTGAATTCACTTCTAATATCTATCATCTGTAAATAAGAAAAAAGTTGGAAAAAACTCTGCCTGAAGCACTTTCAGGGTAAGGTCCGATTCTAATCCCAGATAAAGGAGGAGAGTCAGATATGAGGTTAGCTTGGAATAAGAGAGACATATCGGACTCAGACTACAAGAAGGGGACTAGCTTCCTGAGAGATGCCGTTTGACAGCGAACATGACGAAGCAAATGCCCCACAAACACAAGTAGTTACACTGTTGCTGTACAAGGACGCCCGAAAAGCATCTATAGGTTGGTAACCTCAATGACCCAGGATGAACAAAGAGTTCCTCAAGACAAAGAAATGGCCCTCACCGACGATGAAGATAAGGATGATAAAAGTCAATTCGATCGATCGTCAAGAAATGCAGAGCTAAGAATTTGACCATTTTGATGTGAGACCTTGAAGCCAAAGATGGAATAGACAGCATTGTAAATGATGATAGTATAGATTGATATGGACCTGGGGAAGGTAACGAAAAAACTGAGAGATCTAAACGACTTCTAATAACTCCGGTAATGGGCGGCATCGTATTGCCAGACACATGCATTAAACAACATTACACAGACCATATCTGAATCAATCCAATCACCATTTAGTAGTGGCCAAGACGAAAGTGAAACTCAAGAAGCACGAGACAATTGGTCCAACAACATCACAATAGTTTCATAGGGTCTTTCTTCTGGATACTGACAAACTCATTGCCTCTTCTGTAAGTTCCAAGCTTTTCACGATTTAATCGATGAATAGGAAACCAGAACGGAGAACAACTAGAAAGCGATCATGGAAGCGATAACTTCAGAATCTTATGAGATTTCCGGACACAATACGGACAGTCATAACAAATGTGTCATTGTTAATACGCTGGATCAAATTCAAGAAAAGGAAACCAAGGAGAAAAGAACATCAGCAGCCGAACACAAACAGGGGAACAGAGTGAATACACAGAATCAAGCAAACACGTAAAGAGGGGCGATAAAGCTGCCAATCATAAATATGTGGAATATCTAGCACCGGAAAGGGAAATATGAGACAACTGTATGGTACAAAGAAGAAGCTCGCAGGAAAATAAGGTGAAGCGAAATGTTGAGCGAGAAATAAGGAAGGCAAGTTAATCACAGACATTGAAGAACAGTGAAACATGTGGGCAGAGTACTTTGAAAAACTCTTGGATCAACCGGCGCTACTGTACCCGATCAACATGGATGCATCACAGAGAACCTCTCAATTGATGTTGACGCACAAACAATTCAGGAGATCTGATTTCCGTCAGATAAATCAAGAGTTGTGAAGCAGCAGGACCAGACAGCGTTCCAGCAGAAGTAATGGAAGCAGACATTGAAGCAACTGCAAAAATATTCCACATTCTCTTCAACAATACTTGGGGGTAAGAACAAGTACCAACGGGCTGGAAGGAAGGATACCTCATCATATTTTTCTTCTGCTGGTTGACTGAATTAAAGTAGTCTAACTGTCTATGTGGAAGCGCAGAATACACAGACAACTAGGATGCAGCTGTACAGTTCGAAATTCCCAAATGAACTACCTCTATATCTTACATGCAGCAACAAATGCAGATGAAGACGGTTAGTATTGCGGCAGTAAGTCTCAAAACAGGAAACAACAATATCCTTTGATGTAACACAACGTGCACTAACCAAATCACACTGCTAATACTCCACGAGGGGTAACAGTTGTAAGCCTGAAATATTATCTATAATCTTATATGAACGACTTTAGCCTTCTATATGAAGTCGATATATCTTATGTAATAATTACGTAACTGAACAACCTTTCACAGAAAAAATGTTTGCAGTTTTAACATTTTGATTATGCCTGTCAATTGGCAAGCTTCTTGTAACATGTTGTCATTTGAAAAATTATTATGATTATCATTACTATTATTATGAAGCAAACATGTAAGTACGTTCTAGAAAGATGCTCACATTGTAGTTTGTATTACTAACGGATTCCAGCTGAAGATCTATTGACAAAAAGGAAGTTTTGAACAGTTGCTTTGTAATAACTCTGCACATTTATGACACTACCGGAGAGAGTACACAGAAATTTTCGGCATCTAAAAAAGTACTGAAACATCAAGTAATTAGTTTATTGCCATAAATCAATATTCATATAAATTTATTACGTATTCTACTGTGTTTAGTACACTATTTATTTTGAATAGTCATTATTGGCCGAAATTGTATGACTGTTAGAACTTCATTGTCTAAACTTACTGTTACGGCGAATTGCATACCCAGACATCAATCAAGAAATCCTGGAATAAATAGGATCAAGATTATACGGTGACTCTGTCATACGCATGTTCCATCAGGAATTATACACATGTATATTAATTGCAAACGGGGGTCTGTTAATAGGAAAACTGTATCGATAGTTAATTTGCCCACCTACAGATGAACTGCTTAGGTAACTCTTGCTCTTTGTTAGCCTCAAACGAGCCCCACTAGTAAGAAGCAAGGTGTATAGGCTCATAATGTTACTGGCACTTTACTTTTGTTACTTACAACAAATGATGGTGAAGAGATAAGCTATCCCACGTATGTCCCATTTTCATTACCGAAAGATTTAATGGGTGAGCAAGCGACCGTAAATCCAATAATAATCAGGATACAGAAAAACGGATAATCCACTAAGTGTGAGTAGTTCAAAGGCATAGGTAATACTGAAGTAATATCCAAACCGTTCACTTAGAGCAAAGACAGTAATTGGACAAGGCTGCTTGCCATAACTCACCATCAATTCTTTAGATTATTAAATGAATTGTAAAGAATTCCGCATCTCAAAGGAAGCACGGAATAGAGTATATACCTTGGGCGAAACTAGACGATTTGGACTTCACGGATGACGCAAGCCGATCCCATAAAACCGACAAATACAAGAGATGAATACCAGTTCAGTACCAGCTTTTGTAGCAACATGCACAAGGGAAAAAGTGAGATCCTGAAATACAAAACGGTGATCAACGGCAAGTTACACTCCGCGTAGAAGCTCTGTAAGATTTTACACACCTGGTGAGTATTTATAGATCAGAAAAACAAGAGAGACGACTGAAGAACATTTGGAGTTCAAAAGATTGTCTAATAAGACCAGTGTCATAATTTCCAATACAGACGTCAGAGCAGTTCTGTATACGGAGATGAAACTTAATGAGCTACTACAACTGTAAAATTTGAAGGTTTCTGCGAACATCTGTCGATGCAGAATGATCCAGAACAACTGGTCAGAGACTTATTGTGACAGGGAATAATGCGAATTCAGTCTGAAGAGGAAATTATGCAGGCGTACTGAAGACGAAGTCACACTTTACGAAAGTCATCAAAATACAGGACGGTGCGAGCCCTAACTAGGAATGCTTAAGGAAAAAGAGGACTAGTAAAACATGATGGCTTCTGCACCCTATGCGACACGTGCATTAGGAGGCTTAAGTCAAGTACTGGATTATTACCGGTAGATTTCATTAGGAATAGCAACAAACGATATGGGAGCCCGAACCTCATCTCGTATTAAACTAGCAATGCTATCCCTTGTTGTATGGCTTGAAAACCATGATGCGAACAGTACTGCACCTACTTTCAACGTATGAGGACATTCGATTTTCCCTTGTTTTCAAACTCGCATCTGTAGCGAAACTACCTTTGAGTAACTAGAATTTGTTCTTTTCTTGTATTCATTTGATATTGATTGATGCATATTTCACTTAGTGAACTGGTCTTCCCTTCATTTATGTCGATGAATGAGGATTATAATTGCCGTAGACACTCTTAAGTGAGTTCTTACTTCAGTTAACCGTTATTTATTACTGAACCATCTGTTGTTCATTTATAAGCATCCCGATAGGCCATGATTGTTTTTTCTATTTATTTGGACGCGAACTTATATTCCTCTTGATTTTAACACTATTATGAAGAATAACATCCAAACTCACGGTGGTTTAAATGTAATACTATTGCCTGCCTATTATTTGAGTGCAGTACACAGACCTCATGGCTTGTCCCTAGCCTTTGGGCAAAACAACTAATCCATCCTGCCAAATTACAATTCATTCGTCTTTTTGCCTTGTTAACTGTCCGCTTTTATCTTGGTTGTTTCTGTTTGAGTATGTGTGCACCAGTTGACACATGTCTGGCTTATTTTGTCTGACAATAAATACTAAGTGATGCCTTATCTCCTGGAGTTGGCTCGCCCGCCTATTCTACTTCGCTCCGTATTCTCGTCTATCCGCTTAAATGATGGAGTAGACGATTGCTTGAAATAAACTCGCCCAACTGAATCTGTATTTGGATTCTTATTGCCGCCGTCTAACAAACAGGGTTCACCTAAATATGATAAACGGAAACTGAAGGGGATATATTTATTTAATAGCGTACTCGACGTTCGTGGGAAATCAAGTCAGCTTACGGGCAATTCAAGTAGTGAGCCCCACTTCAAATTCAATGACACCACAAAAAGTGATTAACCAGAAGGCGAAAATAACTCAGCCCACTAGAAGAGAGTATTAT